AAATTCTCATCCGCATTCGAATTACAATTAGTCTGATGATTTACGTCATATTCACTTGGCAAAATGACAGATTTATGTACTTCAGTACAAGTACCATTTTCTATTGAATAAACTTTATCAGCATATTTCAAAAATTGGGTTTGATGAGTAACAAGGATTACTGATTTATCTTTCAAATAGTTAATAATACATCTATCAAATAGTTCGGTTGCGACTTTTTTATCTAATGCACTTAGAGGATCATCTAGTAAATATATATCAGCATCACGGTAAATGGCTCTAGCTAGAGAGATTCTTGCTTTTTGTCCTCCGCTCATCATCAATCCTTTCTCACCAACAAGACTTTGATCGCCTTCTGGAAAGTTTTCCAAGTCCTTTCAAAGCAATTGTACGATGTAAATTATGTAAATAACATAGTTAACAGTCACAATATACATTTACCTTTTCCAGACAACAAGCATACAAAACTTTATGGTACTTTTCAGTATTGAAATTACTATCGAATAGAATATTATCCCTAATTGTTCCGTTAAACAACCACGATTCCTGAGGCATATATGATTTTGATTTCGATATTTTAATATCTCCTCTCTTAGGTGAAACCTCATTAAGTAGATTTAATAGTAATGTTGACTGTACAAAGTTACGTATATATATTAATTAACAGCTTAATTTCGTTTTGTTTTCTATTTAATACTTTTCCCGATCCAACTCGGCCAGTAATTCCAATTAATTCAGAATTTTCCATTGATAAACTAATATTATGTAAGAGTGGATGGGTAGTATCATCAACCTAAAAATGTTTTTTTTTAGGCAAATGAGTAAGTTTTAAATATCAAAAATTGATTAAACCTTCCAATTAAATGTAAGATTTTTAATAGATATATCTTGTTTATTATCAGTTAAAAAGTCGTCTTGAACGCTCCTTTCTTTTGCATTTAAGATTTCCTATTCATTAGAAATTGATTTAAGTTATAAAGCTCTTATATTAAAAGAAAATAACCTTAATCCTTTTAAGAGATTTTTGCAATTCTTTAAATAGAAACAATAACTCCGGTTGATAATAAAGAATATCTCTCTCAAACAGAATTAAAATAAGAATTAATCTTATTATTGACGGAGGATTGAGAGTTGATGGATGAGTTAGCTTGCATGTAATAACTACCAAAATTAAAGGTAGTTTCATACCAACACTACTGAATAATCTATAGATGATTTTAAATACGAATGATTTTAAGAGTTGTAGTATTTCTCTTTGACGGAAAAGAGCAATTTTCTTTTCAAAATATGTTTCCCAAACTTGCATTTTAATAGTTTTAATTCCAGATAATATTTCGTTCATAAAGAGTGCTCTTTTATCAGTTCTCTCAGCAATTTTTGTCCGTAAACTACCTTGCTTTAGAGCAAGTGACGATTGAATAATAACCATTAATAAAATTGAAAAAAAACTTGCTATTCCCGATAGATATCCGTGTAGTTTTGATATCATAATTGTAGATGCTAAAAGTTGAAAACTTGATCCAAATATATTTGGAAAATATGACATTATATATGGTATTTTCTCCAAATCAGTTGAGAATATTGAAACTATCTTTCCAGAGGTTAAAGTACGTAGATGTTCATAATCCATTTTTAAAACCTAGAAACAATTTCATAAAGACTCTAAAAGCTAATAAATTCTCTTAGAAAATACTAACTTTTTCATAAATATAACATCCTATACCACTTTTTAACTGTATACCTTTTTCTAATAGTAAAATTGAAGAATATCTAATACACAAATTTTCGATAATTGAACAGAGAGCTAATTAATGAATTAATGCTTAAAATATGAAATTTAATAAAAGAAAAGTATACAAACTTAATGAAAAAACAATTATATAAGAGACATATGTTACTTTGTTTGTAATATCATTAATTAATCGATGAATAAGAAACGGTACTAGAAAGCGGACGCTTACCTGTTTAAAAAGTGAAATAGATTATCAAGTTACATTTAAACAGTATTGATATTGATAAATAGACACATAAAAGAAAACTAACGGATAATATTCGTAATAGAATACTTATCGTTAAATAACGAGCAGATAATTTAAATATAGCCTTAGTTAACGATATATTTTCTATATTTGATCTTTGTAGATTTATAATACTGTAATAATTATTCAATTTCTATTAAATTGTATATAGTATTAACGATTTGTTTTACCTTTGAACTTTTTCGTGCCAAACTTTTGAACTTAATTTCTTTAATAAAGTATAATTTTCTATACTATCTTTCCAGTTTTTCTTCTTAATAACTTTAAACATCCACCTATTAATGATATATTTAAGGAAAAGAGTAAATACAAATATTTATAATAAGAATGTTAACAATTAGATAAGAGATAGGCTTACCAGATGAATATCTTGGATAGAAAACTAGATTTATTTTCTGGATGGTTTTGATTCATTTTCATTATTTAACATTAGTATAACTTCAGAAATCAAAAGTTATACTTGTTTTGATATGAGTCGACCAGACTTATCTGCTTTCGGACCTTTATCACAATAAGCAAATTGATATTGATTTGTAATTTATGCTTAGATAAGGAAATAGCAAAATTTAAAGCCTTGAAACCCGAATCTTGTACTAGATGGGAGCTTTTACCAACTTGGATTGGCTATATGCAAAATGTTGAGATATGTAATATCAAATGATTAACTATAAAACAAAGCAGATTATAATTTTACCCTCAGTTAGCCCGGTTAGATCAGTCGGTAGAGCATGAGACTCTTAATCTCAGGGTCGTGGGTTCGAGCCCCACATTGGGCGTTGTCTTTTTAGCATCTTAAGAAAAAATATAAGAAACTCTATACCAATATGGCTAACCAAAAATTCATATACCGTCAGATTTACATAGCTAGGATCATATAAAGCATTTGCTGTAATTGTATTATCAGTTAAGTGATTGAGTCTTTCCTATAGAAATAATTGGATTCCATTAAAGCCCACCTGAATATAGATAGTCATGAGAAAATGTATTTCAATTTATTCAGCATGTATTACAAACTACAAACAAATAAGGGATCATAGATGGTAGACCTGTTTTAGGAATTTACTAACTAGATAAAGACGGAAATAATAGGTCAAAGGTTACTTTCTTTACTTCTAATTCTATATACGATATTACCATTTAAGAATTATCAATAGAAGTTACTTGCGCTTGAATTTGCGATACTTCCGGTTCAATATGATTATTTTTCTTTCTTATTTTTAACCATATTGTTTTAATTTGATTACGAAAATGACGATTAAATAAGACAAAAATAAAAAAATTCGACGATGCATTTATACTTAAAGTTCCCATAGCTAAACCATTTATATAGTTATAAGGTTTATCGCATTCCAATATATCTTCCTTAGAAAGGATTGCAACCATAATCCTCCGAATACCATTAACTAGTTGAGATATAATGAAAATAATATTAACAACTATCATAGACTTTGTTATAGAAGATGATGATTTCTTAACTTGAGTTGTAGTCTTCAATCTCTAATGTATTTAAATTAAGGTATAAAGAATAGTTATAAAGAGTAACCGTTATTTAAACTTACGTTGATAATTATTGCTGTCATTATTGATACAGAGAAAATTGGTAAAATTAGCTGAACTAACCAAAATTGAATTGTAACATAGGTAGAGAAGCTCTTTTTACTCTTTAATTTAGTTGGAACTGCAATCCAAAAACTACTATTTCCAATTCTTCCAGGTTCATACTCCAATCCTCTATAAGAGTTTATTGCTATAGTTAAAAAGAATATAAGAGCTTGAGCGATATAAATTCGTTTTTTAGTAAATTTTAATGAATGATAGGGTTTACAAATAGCAATATATCTTTCCAATGTAATTAATATAACATGCCAACTACTAGCCATCAGCGATGCTGTGACAATTGGAAGAAAAGCAACAAAATTGAAATTAATGAAATTATAACTATTTAATGGTGAAAATTCATTTCCTTTTAATTTAGTGACGTATTTCGAAACCTCATTAAAAGTTATAATTAGACAATGAGTAATTAAGAAAATTGTATCAGATATTTCCAAACCAATAAGTAATATGATTGTAATATTTTTTATTTTATCCAAAAGAAATATTCCAATTGCTATTAAATTAACGGCAATTCCAATAAAATTTATAAAAGTTAGAGTAATACCAGTAAAGATAAAATCGAAATATTCACAGTTTAATAAAGAAATTGTCATCTTGGTAATTTCTACAGCAAACTGGTTAAAAAGGTGCTAATATTTCCAGTTTTAAATACTCTACTTTTCTTTTCACATAAGAGGATTTTTTTTAATTCTCTTTTATCTTTCCTTTAATTATCGAATTAATAACTTTTTACTTTTTTCATTTTCTTTATTGCTTCGTAAATGAAACCTTTAAACTTTTGCTACATTTGTTCTTTTAATAAAAGTAACTTCCTTAAGCAGCTGTTTAAAAAATTGTTACTAATATACTGTATTTAATTAATTAATTAATTACAAGTGCTTATCAACCTTTGTTGTTAATTAGATAAGACTAGTCTTAAACATTTATATTATCGTATTAATGGAAATAAATTAAAATTTAGATAAGAATGTAGAGTATATTGAAGCTTCTTTTATCGATAACATTTGCGACTGAGAATATGTCACGTGTCAAATAGAAATCGGTAACTGGTACATTATAGACCTAAGGAGATTAGCTGAGCGTACTAAAAAGTATTTTTAAATAGTTCGTATTAAGAAAATTTAGAGGAAATAGTAATTTTTAGCACTTATCTAACGAATTATGAAGATTCTATGATTCTAATATTAAACGATGATTGATCTATATTGATGCTTATATCTTTTGTTGAATATTACTTATCAAGTGATAATATGATAGACGCGCGTCTAAATCATACTCTGACCTGTACTAATCATAATGTGAAGGTTAAACGAAAAATCTATAAAAACAGGATTTTATACTGACAGAGGAAAAGCTACCTTCGAACAAAACAAGCAGAATGTCAATTTTTCGTTTATTCATAAAGGTTATTAATATTTCTCCAGATGAAAACTTTTCATTGAAATCAGCAGAGATAAGAAAGAATAAAGATGTAACTATTCGTCCAATGAAATTAGAAGAATTTGACCGTGTTGCAGAAATATATCTTAATGGTTTCAGAAATAAATATGTATATTTAGTTGGAGAGAAATATCTACAAACTGCACAAAATTTATACATAAAACATTTAAAATCAGATAAAAATATAAGAAATGGTCACTACGTTGCTATGGTTAATAATGAAATTAAAGGAATATGCAGAATTAGAACATTTAAAGAGTATGTTATTAAATTGTTCATTCAATACCTGAGAATATTATTTTTATACTTTATCATAGCCCTGAAAATATATTTACCTTCGACATCTTTAAATCCTTGCTGACGCTACCAATTCTAAGTCTTTTCAAAGCTCTTTTCAGCTTGCTTACTGTAGATTATATAGAAAGATGCGAAAAAAACGAAGGTTATGTTGATATTTTGGCTGTAGACAATACTTATAGAGGAAAAGGAATAGGACAAAGTCTTTTATCAAGGGCCGACGAAGAATGCTACAAAAGAGGATGTACAGTAAATATTTCTTTTGTATTTTAATGTTATATTTCTAAAATGGCGATATCAATTACAGAAAATATCATTATTGGTAGTGTTGTCTAATTTTAGAGCTAGACGTTTGTACGAAAAACATGGTTATGTACCCACAAAACTCTATTTAGGAAGAAGAATATTTTTGTTTGGAACTGAGGTAAACAATGCTAATGAAATAATTGTAAAGCTATACTCCGTATAACTTATAAGTAATATTTTTACTATGTTCTTTTTTATATAGGGCTTTTTCAAAATGGAGAAGAATCTGGAAGCACTACAAAACTAACTGTTACAAACACATAAATCTATTATTTAACAATCATCTTTTATGCTCTAAATAAACAATTATCCAACACATTTTATCCTTTACCTTGCAAAAATCTCTTCCGAACACTTATTAAATTCTTCGCTAAAACAATCGTTCTTTATCAAATACATAGGAAAGTAATATAGATATATAAGATTTTGCTATTTCTTATCTGCTAGTGTCACAACATGAAAAATCAGAGCTAACAAAAAACAGTAAAATCTCATCAATGAATCTGTAACTATTTAACAACCTCATACGTATAAATTAAGTCGTAGATAAAAGAACTATGGTAATTAAACAGAAGAACAGAGACTACAGATTGAAAAATTTAGGACACATCTTGTGAAATATTCATAGAGTATAAGCACATTCTGAATAATGGGGAGAGATGCATTTGCAAGAAAAAATTTGTCACCAAAAATACATTCCGTTCTCCATTCCAATCGTTAATTGTACCGTTCACATCTCCCCGTAGAATAAACTGTTCTTTCCAAAAAAAATCTTCACCATCCAGTCTCAGCTAAATTACCTTATGATACTTTTTCATCATATATACTTTATATTTAAATTAATTCAACAACAATAAAAGCAGCAACATTCACAATAAAACATAAGAAAAGTTTTATTTAAAAATTCTTAAAGTTCCATCGCCATCAATAATAAATAAACAAATATTTCAAAGTGAAATAAATCGAGTATTTTATGAAAAAAAACTAATATTAAAAATAAATTAATTAAAAATCTGTCCGAACATTTGTTCAGCTGCACATTTTTAACACTATATTAAAAAAGAAAAATGTATAAAAGGCTTTCGAAACTATCATCAACTAAGAAGCAACAGTTTCTCCAACTATGAAAATCTTCTTAGCTCTTTGTCTTATTGGCTTTATTGCTGCAGTTCCTATTCGTTAGTTTGGAAATTTTAACGAAATATCATTCAAATGTTTTTCACTTTTCAGAACAAAGGACTGTGAAAATTCAAGAATTTAGAAGAGTTAGACGTTCACTCGACGACCATCATGAGTTCCACGTTGCTATTCCTCTCGAAAAAAGCTCAATCCAACTCCGTCTCAAAAGAAACACCAACATCAACACCAACATGAAAATTGTATTCCACAATGGAGATGTTGCTGAAGGTTATTTGGATGGAGTTCATGCTTATCAAGATATCAATACTGGTGCCGCCGTTATGGTCACTGAAAAACTTGTTGATGGAAAAGTCAAAAGATCTATTGAAGGAAAATTTGAAAATGAAGGTTTCGAAGTATCCATCGCTCCAAAGAAAGATGGTGATGATGATGAACACGTTCTCGATATTCCATCCTTCTCTGATAAATCTTTGACTTCCCAACTATCCTCTTTCGAAATTGATCAACTCACACAAAGATCTAAGAGAGCCGTCTCCAAACCTCACTATCACATTGAGGCCGCAAACATCATTGATTACACAGTATGGGAATACTTCCTCCAATCAACAGTTACCAATTCCGAAAGCGACGCCGTTTCTGCTATCAGATATCATTACAGTCATATCATGAACGGAATTGATCTCGTCTACAGAAGAATCAACGATCCAAGATTCATGATGTCATTGTTTGTTAAGAAAATCATGATTGTAAAGGAAAAACAAAACTGTCCATTCACTGACGGACCATCTCCTTTGAATATGGCTATGCATAATGGTAGAGAAGTAATCAGTGCCGGCGAATCATTAAATCAAATCTCTCTCTGGATGGATAATTCCGCCAACACTGGAGGAGCCGACTGGATGGATTGGGATCACACTTTCGTTTGGACTAAAAAAGACATTTACGGATCGAGTCACAGCACAATTGGATTTGCCCCAGTAGCAGGAGTTTGTTCCAGAAGAGGTATCTCAATCAACGAAGATCTCGGCATGGACTCTTGGAAGACAGCTGCTCACGAACTCGGACACAATCTTGGCTCTCCTCACGATGGTACTGCACCAAATGATGCTTGTGCCGCCAGTGTTCAAAATGTCATGACTCCCACACTCACTTTCTACACAATCAATCAATTGAAGAACGCTTTCGTTTTGAGTCAATGCTCAATCAATTCCATCTACAACACAGTTATTGGAAACGGTCAAAATGGATTTAAAAGAGTATGTTTGATGAACAGAGTATGTGGACACGACGCATTCAACCAAAACGAAGCCACTGCTGATGAAGTACTTCCAGGAGTCAAATATTCATTGAATGAACAATGTACATTGAGATTTGGTAATGGAGCCGTTGCTAACGATGTTGGTTGCGCTCAAAGCGAAAAAGATGATATTTGTCACCGTCTCGTCTGTAGAGTGGGAAACTTTTGTAAATTCGAAGAACCAGGAGCCGAAGATGGATCATCATGTGGAAATGACAAAGTCTGTTTGAAGGGACGATGTGTCGAATCTTCTCAAGTCAATTTGTACAGCAAAGAAAGTCACAACGCCGAATGTACATCAGGATCAACATTGACAAGAAACGTTCCAAGTGGTTGTACTAATTCGCCAATCAACGTTCCAGTCAACTATGGAACCCATACAAGAACATTCACCAGCTGTGGTGAAATTATTGGAGAAATGCCACACTTGTGTTTCGGTCAATTCGACCAGTCATGTTGTAGAGAATGTAGAAGCAAAGGATTGATCAATGAAAACGATGCGGCAACAAGTACAAGTTCTCTTTGTGATCCAAACCCATGTAAGAATGGCGGTGTTTGTCGTCAATACGGAAACTCTGATTACGTATGCGAATGTGCAGTTGGATTTACAGGAAAGAATTGTAATGGAGACGAAGCCCCAGTTACATCTGCCCCAACAGTAGCTACAACGACAACAACCGCCGCACCAACAACAACAACAACGACAACAACCGCAGCACCAACAACAACAACAGCAGCTGCAGCATGCATTGATTACAATTATTTGTTTAACTTGAGAAATGCAAACCAAGAAATTGTTGATCAAGTAACTTGTAGTCAAGGAGCGTCTAAATACGGATCGGCTTTCTGTAACATGTTAAGAGCATATTGTTGTAGTTCTTGCAAAAATTTATAACCTTGTGCTGTAAATATTGAATGTTATCCGATGAATTCAAACCTTTTATTGTAGAATTATCATTGAGAGCAATGGTTATGAATTTTAAATAAAAGTGTATTCTGCACAGAAATCTTGACTTGTTGTTATGTGAAGTTGATAAAGTATATTTTAGGAAGATTTTGTAGTTCGCCGAGGAAGTGTTATGTAGATTATGAAAAGAAACATTCAATTTTGGAGGGAAGTAATATAAAGATGTAAGATTTCGTTATTTGTTATCTGCTAGTGTCACTATGTCAAAAAATCAGAAGAATCAGAACACACCAAAATCTCGTTAATGAATCTATAACTATTTTATAACATCATTCCAAGAAATTCAATTTTAGTGACAGAGCTCTGAGAAATAAACAGAAGAACAGAGACTAAAAGATTCTCTGTTGAAGATCGGTTCTTCTACGATTACGAACTATGTATATTTACTGTCGGTAACCGTATCAAACGGTTGCTGTATTCTAATGACCAAAGCTAATAATTATCACGTGTGGATACACGTGATTACGTAACTACGAGATTACATCTCGTCGTATGACACATGAGACTTGATACTTATGTATATATATATATGTCTGACTATCACAACAACACCTGCTGATCGCGATCAGGTTCTCAAACACTCCCCCCCCTAAAGAACCTCATGTTTCTTTAGAATGGGACTACTCTTCTCGGGTCTCGCCACATTAAGGACCTTTCAGTGAGAATCTGTAGGTTCCTAGGCTGCCCATCAGCTGATTTATTTATTTTCTGTATACGTCCTATCTTCCAATTGTGACGTTTTACAGAGTCACTAACTAGGATTACTAGGTCATTAACCCTCGGAGTTCGTCCACTCTGTTTGTTCCATTTTGAGGTAGTTTGTAAAGTGGCTATATACTCCTGGAACCATCTTCTCTCCAACATAGACCTGATAGATTTGATTTGCTCATAGGAGCTTCTTATTTCGTTCCTTTCCTTGGATTGAATCCATAAGAAGGATGCTGGAGTAAGGAGGGTTTCTGTGTGATCCTCCAGGATAGTTGTCAATGGTCTTTGGTTGACAATACTTTCGGTCACAGTGATTGCAGTCCTTAGGCTTTCCTCTGTTGGTGTCTCCATATTTAACACTTGTAATGTGCTCTTAACTGGTTTTACTAAGGATTCCCATAATCCTCCTCTATGAGGAGAATTAGCTGGTATTAGTTTCCAGCAGATTCCTGCTCTCTCCATTTCCTCAAACAATTTCCTAAATGCTCCAGCTCCATCTGAGTGTACATTCTCTGGGTGACCTCGTCTTGCCATAAACCTAGTCCATGCCTCCTTTGTGTGTCCAAAGGATGTTGATGTGCAGATCTCCAAGTGTACTGCCCTTGATAGAGTTAACATTTCTCTCATTGATTCTAGCCTTGGCCGTTAACAGGGCCATCTTATTTCCTTCCCCTAGATAAGCGGTCGCACAACGTGCTTTTAAGGAGGCATCGCAAACCATCTTCAGCTTGTTACCACCAACATATCTGCTGGCTCTTATTGATCCTGGGGTGGACTTCCTGAGTCTTTGTAGTATTGTTTGCTGTTCGCTGGATAGCTTGGTATCCCAATCGCTATTATCCCTTATTATCTCGGAGAACAGTAACCTGAAAGGTAACAGTCTTGCTACAGCCAGACCTAATGGGTCATAGACTTTGGCTATGATGCTAGCAAGTTCTCTTGTAGTAGCTACAGCCCTTTGTAAAGGTAGCAGGTTTACAAGGACTTCGTCAGTCTTTTCATTGTAAGAAACGCCAAGAATTTGTTTTGGAATTTTGAATTCCAGGTCTAGTTCTTTTAGTCTCTCACTTATCTGACCATTGTTCGAATAGCTTTTAGCTAACTGGAATTTACCATTCAAGGTGCTCAGTGTACC